TATCAGTAAGTAATTAACAGATATGTGATTACAGCAATTCTCTGATAAAAAATTAACTGATAAAAGTTTTAAATGCGAGAGCAACAATATTCTTATATGTACAAATACGCATATATATTTGCATCCTTTCTATTTCGCGAAGAAAACTGCATATAAATATTAATATAAATTACTTTATATAACAATATTGATTAGAATTACGATCGTTATTGTATATTTTTGCAAATAGCGCACGTGACTATTTGATAATTTTTTAATTGTGTTAATCGTTAACGACTCCATTAGAGAACGTTACAATTTACAATAAAAGTTTCTTCAATAATTTATATAATTCGACAAGATATTATAGTTTCTTCAAATATTTAATTTATGTAATGGCTTAAAATAGCCATTTCCAGAAGATCCTAAATATTCTGGCCAGCTCTGATGTATTGAAATATTTTTGCATGTTTGATTAGGTAGCATATCCTCCGGACATACGCATTCTAGTTTCATCCTGTATATTGTCATTTGACCAAATGCGATTTTGGTATTTTCCCTATCCATTGCCTCTTGATATAATCTGTAATTAATGCCTCGCTCGGATAAACATTCGCTGATGATGTCGTCATCTTTTTTGTACTCAAGTTTATCATCTAATAATGCTTTCTTCTTGTCAATGCACTCTACATCTGCTCGAGACAAGATCAGAGATACTTCAGATGACGGTAACCAAAACGTAGGAAACACTAAATCTATCGATGTCTTTCCTTTGGATTCGATAATAGACGGTAGCAGAATACCGGTTGGTGCCTGCTTCTGAATACCATTGATATCGTTCGATTGATTGTTATTAATTTCCGAGTTTCGTTTCGTTCTTCGTTTCTGTCGTATTTTGACAACTCTATCAGTTGATGACAATATTAGTAATTGCTTCTTATTAATCTTGCCTTTACTTTGATTTTTCAGTGATTCCCGTTTAAATACTTTTTCTATACTAGCATCATCATCCGCGTCTTGGACAATATTAGGGAAACTATGCTTATAAATGTGTCTTCCCTGAGGTACGTCTACGACTTTCTTAGTAGTGGAAGTTGCATCTGGATGACCAGTGATTATTTGATTTTTAGTAACATTTGATGCTTCAGTATGTGTGTCCTCAGGCAATTCTGTATTCATATTTGTGCTCTTTATTTCTATTAATTCGCTCGTCTTTAATATATTCTGTATTGTAGTATTCTTTTCGATATTTGATTTATTGTTTGACATAATTAATGATAACTCTGGAAATTGCGAAGTTGATGTCATTGATATATTCATTATATCATCAGCTTCGTTCATTGAGTCATTCTTTTTGTTGATTTCTTCCATTTTTCTCTTTTTTTCTGTGTTAATTTCCTCATGATCTAATCGTAAATTGTGTCGCGTCGATTCAGGTGTTGAATTAATTTCTTTATGAGAAATATTTATCGAATATATATCTTTAATCACAGGAACGACACTTCTCTGTTCTCGCACTTCACCTTGCGAATAATCTACATTCTGTCCGTCTTCATTACCATTATCATTTTCGTATATACTATCATACTCTTTATCCGGCTGTACATCATCCTCCATCCATTTGTTATCCTGTTTCCATGCTTGATCTACGTTCAAATTTTCTACAGTGTCTTCGGGATTATGTTTCTTATGACTCTTAAATTCGTCGAAGTTCTCATATACCGCGTCCGAATCATATTTGCCTATCTCGAGTAGACTATCTTTGTGTTTGAAAATGTTATCTTTCCGATGATTTTTATGAACTTTTGGCGATCTCTCGGAAACGAGCGGTATGTTTGAATAAGTATCCGTGACCTTTAATCGCGAATGGGACTTCAGATTCTTCTCCTCTTCTTTTCGTAGGTCGACTGAATTATTGAACTCTACCGACTTCCAGTCCTCCGAGAAGTATAATGACAATCCAGGCGGGCCGACATGTTGACTCAAAGCTAGTAATCTCATAGTAAGTGTCGAATTGAATCTCAGGGAGCAGAGATCGGTGCGAGTTTGTGACATGAAACTCTGATCTTTTAAGAACTGATATTTTTCCTTGATTCCTTCGTAATTTAAACAGTCGGTGGACCAATGCAAAAACCAATCATTGCCAAATCCATCGACAGTGACCGATAATCCAGACATTTGCCCACTTAAACTATCCTCCATCGGTTTCTCGAGCAAAGGCTGCCCATTACGACCATCTATAACTGTAGCTACAGTGTAATAGTATGTGGATAAGCCAGTACCTATCTGATGCTTCACCATAAAGTCTGGTATATCATCGTCGTTATAATAACCGGGAATGGGAATGCTAATTACTTCGGAATTGGGAACCGTGTAATTCCAGATAGGCTCAAATGTAGTTCCATTGTATGCTATAATCGTAGAATTGAACATAGCAGCGACAATATCTTCAATTCCATCCGATGTAATATCGATTAAAATTGGTGGCAACAGCGCATTTTTGCCAGTGTTATGATTGAGCTTTTGCAATTGCTGCAACAAAAGTATTCAAAGTAGCAATTAACGCGATAATCTTTTCATATTAATAAAAGAAAATCTAACAGATCTTGTTACTACATACCAAATCACCGTAAAATATATTAGCTTGGGATACTATATATAATCCTCCGGAATCTTGTTGACTGGTTGTAGCTAGAACGAATATATTTTCTCCATCAGGGTGTACTATAATTTGCGGTGCTACGAACAATTGCTCCGTATCTGGTAAATTCATATTGCGTATGACACTGCCACTTTTACCCGATATTACAAGTACATTACTTGCTTGAATATTATCTGATTGTACAACATGTGATGCTATTACATCAGCAATACCATCGCCATCCATATCAGCTATAAATCTTGCATCATAGACATCCGAAATTATTTGCAGCTCAGAAATTAGATCTTGAAGTGGTATCTCCCATATATTGGAACCATCATGGCCATCAATAGCTTGTAGTATTCCACCACGTCCAGATATGATACAATCTTTAACTTTGTCGTTCGTCAAATCTGCATCGCAGTCAACAGAAAGTATGGAATGAGCAGTCCAATGTGTCCAGATAGATTCACCTGTTTTACCATTCAGTGCTAGTACACCGCCTAGACACGGCGTTTGATTCCCAAAATATATAGTACAGATATATTCTGTATCCATCATATCCAGACCTGAATTTATAAATCAATAATCTTTACAGTGACTGATTAAATTAATAATCAGAAAAAAATATCAATAATTCACCTTAGATTATAAAGAAACATCATGTAAATGTCAAATCAAAATCTGTAAAAGAAGCAAATAAAATAGAAATAGCCAATTACAAATCACAATGCAACATAGTATATAACACAGAAAATTATAAATTATAATATATACAAAAAGAAAATGAAACAAAATTAAAATAATAATCACAAAAAATCATTCATTTATTTGAATTAATACTTTTTATACCTGTACTAAATCCTACAATAATATCTTCAATTCCATCAGAGTTAACATCATTACTCCTAAGAGGTGCTTCAGGTGTTAACTTTGGAAATGATCTGGCCCATAAAACACTGGACGAGAGTGAGGTACATGGAATTATCTCTGATTCATTTATAGGATTTTTTAAATCATGTGACATCCAGCTTTTCAATATAGTTAACGGCATTGGGAATATATTTGCAGTAAATATACAAACTACAATTAAGCCTAACAGCACAATCAATGCTGTAGTTCCACAGCACACTGGCACGAGAAGCATGTTATATGGGATCTTATGGTTCTCCAAGTTGCAGGGTTTTTTGCATTTTCTACGAGGTGCCATGAGAGGCTGTTTCACTCCACCATCGTCGTCTAATTTCAATCCACCGTTTCTTCCATCCCTAATAAATACTTCATCATCGATGTCGGTGAGATCATCGTCGTCGAGATTGTCTCTCACTGCCAGTTTCGGTAAAGTCGGATATACCGCTGACATGTTGTCAATCTGCAAAAATACACTCAGAAAATTAAACGAGAATTTTATATCTGTGAATTTGGACGATTAAAAATCAAGCAATGAGTTAAAATATCAGCAAAATTTTACGGAATTAGAAACATATGTACATACCTGAGGATATTCTTCCTTAAAATTCTTTAAACGCACGCAAAATTTCAACTTTTCCTGATTCTCGCACCTGTACGCTCGCCGGGCTCACTTACGCTTTCAAAAAGATATCATATGTACTGCGACGCCTATCGCGATTAAAAAATACAAATAAAACATACTTGCACGTACACATCAACACAATATTTATGCAGAAAGAAGCTCGAAAATCCTCAAAGCAGCCATCTCAGCATTCCCGGCTTTTTTCATGGTACCATCGAAACCATAGGTATAAGAGGTCTGTTCACGTTGAATGAAATTCTCAAATACAATATTTTTACACTAAAATGAGATAGATACATATTTGGCCTTGAAAAGAGAGAAAGCGAAGATGTCGAGTGCAAAAAGTGCAAGCAACACGAACAGATCTAAGGTAACATACCCAAAGGGCTGGTATTCATGGTTCATTTTTATTTCAAGACAGTCTTCAGTAGTATCTTAAGATTATAGCCCTCTAATTGGTTCGTGACTTTTTAAGATTGATCTTAAATATGATTGACTTAAGACGGTCTTAAATATAAAAATCCGACTATGAATACAATTGGTTTATAAACCTTAGCCTTTTAATACAATTGGTTTATAAAGCTTGGATATCGACAAGCGATATCCAATAAAAGCTCTGCTTTTTTTCACATGACGATGTAAAGCAGAGCTCTTATTGGATATCGCTCGTCGCTCATCGCTCATCGCGTCCAGTGTGCACTGTACAGTAGCCAGTTAAGCCAGCAGGCATTAAGTATTTCATATTTTATTTGCTCGCAATAGTGTGATCAAGTTGAGTTGAGTGTGGTACGGTGCCGGTGACGTTGGGTGAGTGTTGGTTAAAGTCGACGGTGAGACGTCGCCAGAATGGGTCCCGTATTTTATGTCATCTACGTCGCATTGTTGTCCACGTACGCGAGCGCGAGCGTAGACACGAATACGCGGCGGACGAAGGGCAGCCTGGTGGAACAACTGAACGAGGATAACTGGAATCTTATGCTTACTGGAGAGTGGATGATTGAGTTGTAAGTGCGACCGTGCACGTCGACATCGTTGTGGTTAATGCCGTGTCAAAAAATGCCCGAATTTGTTCGTCCTTGACGATTGTCATTAAGATTTTACAGGATTAAAAGGCTTTAAATAATTTCAAGAATTTAAAATGATATAACTTGTATAAAAAAGAATAAATATTAAATTTATTTTAAAAATAATCAAATGTAACAAAATGAAATTTGCAAATGTAATATGAAGAAAATGAAATTGTTTGACGTTTTTGTATAAAATAGCAATTGCTACAATAATCGAGACACACATTAACAGCTAATGGTAAATTCAAATGTAATGTATTTTTTGTATTTTAACATACTTTACAGAAAAAGCTAAATTATTTTTACTCATCAAAATCTTTGTTATCTAAATAATCACTGGGTTTAATAGTCTCACTGTCAGCTATAAAGGGATATAATTGAATGAATTCAATAGATAGAAGTATTCTTGTAAAGAATATGGAATATAAAGTCATAGTTAGATTTACTCTTTATCAATATATTTTGTAGTTGATAGCATTGTCTGAAAGCTTATACAATTAAACTAAGTTTTACAATTATATATATATATATATATA